TGCCCTTTGGGCCCAGCTGGGCTGGACGTGCCTCACATTCGCTCCTTGGCTCAGAGCAGAGGGAGCTCGGGAGGGCACTCACCTTGACGTGCTTCTTCACCACATCTGTTCGCTGCAGTCGCTGCTCCTCAGGGATCCCGATCTCCTCCCAGATATCCCGCAGTTTGCCCAGGGCGCTGTTCAGACATGCCACGGACTCCACTGCCAGCACCTCGCTGAGGGATGGAGGGACAGCGGTTACTGCCGGGGGGCAAATGGGGCTCAAAGGAGTTCACCCAAGAGCCACCGGACCTTGCTGAGGAAGCCAGGCCCAGAGGGAGGGAGCTATCACAGTGCATTTGCCAAACTTGAGCCAGAGGCAGGCGACTCCCAGAAGACACCAGAACCCACTCCTGTTGCTTTGGCCAAATTGCTCACTATTCTGCTGCTGGAGCCTGGAGGAACTCAAGGGCAGAAACACCCAGCATAGTCCAGCTGCAAGCGTCTGGAAGCAGACTCAGCAGCTGTTCACACACACCGTGCCCGTCATAGAAGCATCAGGGCCGCGGGCAAGCTGTTCCAGCCCTGCAGTTTGCTGCCCACTCCAGGCAAGCCCCCAAGCTTGCAGAAGGGCTCAGCTAGGTTTTGCGAACAGCAGCCACTTCCGCGGATTCAGATTGGGCACGGCAGCCGGGCAGGAAACAGGGAGCTCGCTCCCCACTCCTGATCTACGAGCAAGGGCAGGGGAAAGGAGGAACGCTCCCAGCCTCAGGGACCGCAAAGGCCCAGTCCAGTCTCTAAACAGAATGAACCGAGTTTAAGGCCAAAAGCAGGATTAGATCGACTTGCATTTACCAGCCTTCGGGTCCAGCCATTGGTTCACATCACCCTTTCCCCACTAAGTTAGAGCTCCCCTTGTGTGGGTCGCGGACCTGGTCAGCAACTGAAATGGCAGAGTGGCAAGCGCAGACCGTGGAGCTAGAAGCCTACGTTACCTAGATGTGAGTAAGGTTTGAATCGATGGCAGAGCTTAAAAAATGCCATCAATACAGTCTGAGGCGCAGCTCTGCTGTACCCTGCCCTTAAGTCAGCAGTGACTGAAGTAACCAACGCAGGGAATGCATTTGTGCCACGACTGAGTTTCTCAGATCTCTACGCACAGATAAGTGCCAGCGACAAGCACAAGCCAAGGTGAAAGGCAACAGGAGCGGGGCAAGCAGCCTGCCGCGGTGCGGAGGAGCAGACAAGAAATGCTTCCTTCCTGAACGGTTACTTCCACGGGCGATGCCAGCAATCCCGGCCACCTGACATCTGCCGAGGGCGCAGGAGAACTGCTCGGCTCAGCCCCAAAGCTTCAGCGGGGAGGGAGCAGCAAATGTTTGTTAGAGCATCAGAACAAGCAAGCCATAAATAGAGGGTCCAAGATCCTGGGGTCACCAATGCTCTAGACAGGGCGGGGGCTGGCTCCTTACTTCTCTCAACCAGTCCTGTATCTACATCCAAGGATCACCTTGGCCTCAGTACCTCCCCATGGCACCAAGAGCTCACGTCCCTCTTCGTTCCACTGTGGCCCCCAGAGCCTTGTTCCACAGCCCGTGGTTCTCCTCCTGCCCAGATGGAGACCCGTGCCTTCGGCTGCTTGCCAGGGTCCAAGGCACCGGGTGGTCCGGCTCACTCTGGGGCACACCCTGCCATCGTCCCCACAGCTCCAGAGACAGACTGTGTGTCGTCTGTCACTGAAGGTGACTGGTCGCTGTGGGTCAGGACCAGTCCCGGTGCTTGCCGGCGCTCCTGCAGTCTCTCTGGACTTGGGCCAGGGTTGAGCGCAGCACATCCCAGAGAGGCAAGCACGCTGCACCAGTGGTTACCTTTGCCAGCTGCCCTCAGTGGCCCTGTCAAGAACCGAGGACATTCTTAGGAAAGCCATGGTGCCGGGTGCTAGTTATATCCCTAGCCTTTAACTCGGGGGGGGCCAATTGGTTTGGCCCCCAGAGCCATATCTGGGCTGCAAGGCTCCTTGTGGGCCAGAGCTGGGCTCGCCCCTGGCAGCGCTGCAAGAGGCACCAGGGAGCCGCAGGTGTTAATTCAGCAGCTGCTCACCTCCCCTCCCCCCGGCACGTGTCCCCGGCGGGGCTCTGTGCTCCCAACTGTGGGGCAGGCTCTGCCCCGCCCGACTCCGCAGACCCCCCCACGGCCAGGCGACACGGCTCCGTGGGCAGGACGCGGCCCTGCAGCCACGTTCGACACTGGTGCTTCAAACAAAACCTTGGCCGACTTCCCCGTGGTCCTGCCTGGGGCCGCGGCAGGCGCAGCGAGTGGCCGCTGGCTGCAGGACCCGTCATTCGGGTTGCCTCTCTCGAGGACACCGATGTTGCGGCGGGGCCCCGGTCACCCAGCATTTATAACCCCAGACGGGAAACCACCGTCCTCCCAGCCCGCTCCAAGCCATTCACGCCCGGGCCAAAGGTCGCTAAGCCTCCCCCAGGTACTGAGGGGCTTTCTGGCCCGTCGCCCTCCCTCCTCTAGGAGCCGCGCACCACGCTGTCCCTGTGCAAACACGCAGGAGAAATATTTATTGAAAAGCAGCTGCTCTGCACCACGGACAGCTGTCATCTTCCTCGCACAAGGGCCAAACCACTGCGAGACGCCTTCCCTCCCCGGCGCAGGGCAGAGCTCTGGGGACCTCTCCCTTGCCCACGCCGCCAATTCCCTCCCCACCCCTCACAGCCAGACAGACGTTTCTCTGGTTGCGCCGCGTGTCCCTGGCCCGACTCGTCACCCGAACCTCCAGGCAAGGCTCCTGGAGGGAGGCACCGCAGCCTTCAGCGAGCGCAAAGCCTGCCAGCCGGTCTGAGGCACCACAACCATCAGCCCCGGCAAAGCCCGAGTCCAGCCCCCGCGCACGTAGGCGAGCGCGAGATCGCCCCCAGCGCCCCCGCAGAAGTGACGCGGGAGGAACCAGAAAGGGGCGACGCACCAGGACGACCGACCGCTCGCAGGAGGAGCAAGGGGCCGACGCGCACGAGCACGAGCACGTTGTTTGCAGAACGGCCGCTCCCTCCGGAGCTCGCCATCCTCGGGCTTTAGGGAATTTGCAAGACGCCTCCGGGACGCGGGGCAGAAATTCATAACCTGAGAGAACAGCTCTCCCACGGCCCCCCGCTCCCCCGCCACTCGCTGACCCTCGGCCCCGACCGAGTCTCGTCGCTGCGGGGTGCCCGCCTCCTCCGTCCCCCCGAGCAGGGTCGCGTTTGGACGGCGGCTTCCCTTGGACGTTCGCCTCCTTGGCCCCGAGAGGCGGCACGCGAGGCCCCAGAAGCCCGTCCAGCGGGTCTGCCTGCCAGTCGGACGAATCCTTCCTTGTCCGGCGCTCCCGGCCAGGACACGGCTCCA